GCCGGAGGAACCGGCCCTCGTGCTTCGCGATGGTGTCGTAGAACTCCCTTATCTTGGTTTCCACCCGCGTCTTGTGGTCCGGATCGAGGCTCCGGATGCGCCGGCTCCTCCGCTGCGGGGAGGCCGGGGCGGCGGGAGCGCTCCTGGTGCTCTCCACGAGGTCCCGCAGCAAGGCGCTACCCTTGCTGGCGGCGCCCGCCAGGAGGGATCCGTCGACCGCAAAAACCACGTCTGTGTGTGTGTGTGCGCGTGTGTGTGCGCGGTGGTTCCGTCCGGGAACGGTTCCGTCGATTCCGATGCGAGTCGAGTCGACAGCGTCGCAAAATCAAATCAAATCAAATCAAATCAAAACAAACAACAACATCAGAATGGGAAGGGTCGACACGACACTACAAAAGAGACAACGCGACCGGAACCCCATGGGGCAGCAAAAAAGTCCGAGAACCACGCGTGGATTCCCACGGGCAGCAAAAACGCACCGTACTCCCCAAAATCCATGTCGTCGTCGTCGTCGTCGTCGTCGATTTCACCGTCGCCGGCCCGGACCAGTGCATCCGAGGCACCGTGGCTGCGGATGTCCCCGTCCCCGTCGTCGCCCGCGTCCGGGACCCTTTTCGCCTCGGAGCCCTCCTTCGTGACAGCCGGGACGTGCCAGGCGCGGTCCCGGAAGCGGAGCCAAACCAGCGAAGACACCACCACCAGAAGCAGCGTCGTCGCCCAGAGAGCCACCCCCTCGGCCGTGCCGGTGCTGCTGCTGCTGCTGCTGGTCGGTGGCATCGTATCGTATGGTGACCCACTATCGGACATCTTGTCGCATCCTATCGTATCGTTTGCCGAATCGTTGCACTACTGCTGGGATGATTTGCATACCGTACCGTACCTGTCAAAACCGTTTGAAAGTACGGTAAAGTATGAAGTCGTACCAGGTACTACTCGTCTCGACTGGACGGGATAAAAACTCGCGAAAACGATTTCAAAAACGGTGGTTTGAAATTGAAATTGGTACGGTATGTACCAATCATACGAAGTTCTCTTGTCATTTTTCCGGATTTCAAAATTGCTGAATAGGCCCTCGGGGAACGAATGAGATGCTTGCAACATACGTGCCGTTACGGGTTACAGCAGCGGCTTTTTGGTGCCGTACGTACGTATGGTGGTACTTCTGCTTCGTACAGTACGTACTCGTACAAATCCATAAGGGCTACGAACGAATGCGTAAACAATTGATCCCGCACTATCCTCCAAGTGTCACCAGAACTCCTACGAATCCAACAAGAAGCAAACGAGGGACAGATTTCCAATTGAAGAAAGCAAAGCCACTGATTTCGGAAGCCAAAGCAACTCCGAGAGACAACAGCAATGATGATGTGTACAGTACTAACAACTCCTCTCAAGAAGAGTGCTGATGGAAAGAAGCTTCTTCCTCATCCTACTATGGGTGCTGCTGTTGCTAACAAGCAAGAAGAAGTAAGAGTCTACTAGTACTACTACTACTAGTACTAGCTAGTACTACCGGGGCCACTCCCTTTCACAAGGCAAAGTTGCTCTCAGCGGAGGTAGATTCCTCCCATACCTACCTCTGTTTCAATTCTTGTACAAATCATACTACCCAGCATGCAACCAAAGTAATTGTTGCAAGGTGGTATTGTTTTGTCATTTCCAAAGCAGGAATGTTTTGAGTGCTGGTAGTATTAGTACGACTACGACACAGAAGGCTTGTTGAACCATTGCCCATACTACAATCACAGCAAGTAGTAGCTGGTGAATAATCCTCACAATTTATTGAAAACCATGTATTATTGTACACTACTAGGAAGCCTATCAAAATCTCACAGCACATCTGCTCATCAACTATCACCATCAGATACAATACCAGAGTAGATTGATTTAGTACTACTACTACTACTGTCTCCATTTGTCGAGCAGGCAACTGCTTTCCGTATTGGAGCAAAGAATTTCTAGATGCGGCTTTTCTTTCACAGATCAGTTTTGGCTGTGATCCAGACTGGCACTGCGTGTCCCAATCCCGGCAGGCTTGCCTTGAGAATCGAAACTCAAATCGAATCGAATCGAATCGAATCGAATCGAATCGAATCCATCCAAAGCCCCGTGCGGCCCTAACTCCCGGCACGGGGGGCTCCGCAGGAACGCCGGCCCAGGGCCACGGCCCCCGCTGCGGCGAGCGCCGTGGCCGGGATCCACCCGTAGACGGCCGCGAGAAAGGTGGTTCTCAGCCTCCGGAGGGCTTCTTTGTTGTTGGTGGTGCAGAAGGGAAAGGCCCCCCCC